TGACGGAGTTTTCAATGATTATCAGAAAAATACCCTCCTTACTGTTTCATAAATAGCAAACTTCTAGAATTTTGCTGTGGAATTTTGGGATTGTATAAACGCTTGCAACTTACATTAGAGACCTTACATAACTTAGTGGCAAGGTTTCAGTGTTTCGGGGTACTTGGTAATACACCACCAATATATTTTATAAATTTAGATTTAAGGTCAAAAGGAAGAGTTTTATAAAAAAAAAATGTATGCAAATGATTGTTGATAACTGAATGTAAGAAATAATAATTGTGTATAGTATACAATGAACCAAGAATGTGTGTTTGGTAAAACTATTAATGTGCATCATATAACACATGGAATGATCTATACAGTGGACACAGTGTATACGGTATACGGTGTTTATACATGATACACAGAATATAAAACAAGCATTTACAGTTTACACAAATATGCATACACTATCAATATTGTACCATAATTAGTAATGCAAAAAAGTAATAAAAATAAATTCACCGATCTCCACTGAAATATCGTTGCGCTTGACTCACCTCCGACTGTATCACGGACACTCTGTCATTCCTCATCTCATTAAGAACTCGAACAAGGTTGCTAATGTTTCCACTAATCTGCAAGTCAATCATCTGCCAAACAGCAATCAGTGTCCCACTTCGACCGGCCCCAGCGCTAGAAGGAGTAATCAGGCTATTACAGACATACACACACATATAACTATCTATCTATCAATATTAATACATACACAGACACAGACACAGACACACACACACACACACACACACACACACATGTGTACTTGTGACAAGGCTCCCCGGTCTAATCTCTGCCCTTCCCGAGCTTCGTGTGGGCCCCTGACGCGCAACTCACCCGCTGTGCACGAGCACCGGGGTCCTGGGTCCCAGCTCCCGCCTGGAGCTCCTGCCGATCATGACGAGGTGGACGAGGTCCTTTGGCGTTGGCAAGGCTTCGTCGAACCAGCCCTTCATTTGGTAGAAGTGGATTGTACGTTGCGTCTGGCCCTAGGACAGATAGTGCATAAATACGTCAGAACGATACTGATTACTTGGATAGAAATTAATAGAGAATGATATATATATATATATATATATATATATATATATATATATATATATATATATATACATATATATATATATATGGAAAAATCCGGGTGTACGTGAATAGATGTGGGCAGACATTGTTCTTAGTGCACATACTTGCGCGTACAGTCGCACTTATATTACCTTGGAGACCTGAAGCGTTTTCGATAGGAGAGTTCCCACACTGCTCTGTTTCGTTACTGTAATTTCCAGCTCATCATGACCCATAACCCAGCGCCCTTCACCTGCTTCCTTCACGTAAACGGCTACCTGCAAATAGGGTTGTAGGCGTTGACGAAACCCATCCGTAGATACACAATAGAACATAAAGAACTACATGTATCATTACAGCTTTTGACGATCCAAGAAAAAAAAACTCAAGAAAAGTGAGAAGCCAAAAGTAGCAAGGCCTACCGATTGGTTTGGTAAGTCAGACGAGAGACGAACGATGACGTGGACGTTCTGTTCCCAGATCAGCTGCCAAAAGTCGTCCCCTTGGTCAGGCATCGGGTCCTGAGCGACGATGAATTTCTTGCCCTAGAAAATTACGGTCAGTAAAAGTTATCTGTGTAGTGATATACACAAATATATGTGCGCGAAAATTTAATATTCTTACTAGAGCGCTCTTTTGAGTGATTTTTTTTTAATAATACGACAAAACGCAAAAATAAGAGATAGGTTAGCTCTCTCTTGCGTAAGTAAGAAATCACGCACATGTGGACGGACTGGCTTCATATCACAAAGTCCCACTTAAGGTGTTTTCTTCATCAGGTCAGGACGGTTACCTTGGGTGCATCCCTCCCCGTACCTGGGCCACCTTGCACACGTACAACGCGTTTCTTCACTAAAGAGAGCGAGACGAGCGGCAGACACAATACTCACCAAAACATAGGAAGCGTTTATATAGTCTACGTTGCTTA